TTACCTGCAATACCAGCGATTGCTTCTGAAGCAAAGTATTTTACGTCTACATCACTGTCAGTATTAAGTTTATCGAGGATAGGTTTTACTTGAGTTTGGACTGCTGAAGGTTCAAGGAAAGGTCCAATTCGCTGCAAAGTCTTAGCGACATTAAATCTTACATTTGCAACATTATCAGTAGCCATTGTCAATACAGTTGGAAGCATGACTTTTGTTGTTATCTCTGGACCACATACTTCAGCCAGAACCTATTATAAAAATTGTTAAATGTTAGAATATATATTATTATATATATTATTGCCGTTTTAACTTACATTGATGCAGAATAAGCATGTCATTCTATGAAGATAATTCTGATCCCTGGACATAGCCAAAACTTTAGGTATCACTGTATTCTGTGCCCAATCAGGTCCAAATTTCTCTACCAATTTCTTCAGATTTAACGTAGCTGCTTCCCGAATCGCATAAACATGATCCACTAGCCAAGTCATACACAGAGAATTTAATTTTTCATCAAAGAATTCTACGCCAAGCTGTCCAGCTAATAATGGCATATATCTGAAATTCAAATGAATTAGTACGAATTCAGATGAATTAGCACAATTCTTTTAATTCAATTTAAATAAAAGAAAATAATTACTCGATGATAGCTAATCGCACGCGCCATTTAGAATCTTCGGCTAACTCCACAATGGCAGGTAAAAGAGATTGCGAAAGTTGTTGTATACCAATAACTTCATTAACACATTCTAGATTACTAATGATATTGAGCCGCACCTCGGGGCATTCATCTCTGAGTTGGGATAAGAATAGAGGTAACAGATGCTCGATCGTGCTGTAAAAAAAACAATTATCAATTGATTGTTATACTTTGTAACATTTTGTAAGATTAATCGTTCTTACTTGTGTTTGCCGAGTATGGGACTTAGTCCCATAATTACGCTTGCCAGAGCTGACTTTACATGCTGATTAGGATCTGCTACAAGTTCTTTAACAATAGGCAATATATTTGTCATTATTATAGATTCCTGATTGAATTGATCAAGATTTTGACAGAAATCGCGGACTTTATCGGCAGCTGCAGCCCGCACTTCTGCCTCAATATCTTTCAATAATACTTGAAATGCTGGTACAAGATCTGTTTTCGTTATTTCTGGACCAACAGCCTTTTGAAGCTGCAAAAAAATATTTAAATAGTATTTTTAGTTTAATAAAATTTTTTCAATATAGTTCTTCATATAAAAACTTTAAACAATATTAATACATACATCTGTAAATTTATCCGCTACCATGTAACGAACGCGCCATGATTGATCGCTAGCACATTGCCGAAGTGTAGGCATAACCAATTGTTCAACATCCTCTTGTTGTAACAATGCTGCAATACTGACGCAAGCTTCAACAGCCAAAAGACGAACTGAATCCTATAAAATTATATGTCACTTTATAATAATCTGATTGACAAGAAAACACTTTAGAAGTTTTATAATTGTGATATACTTACTTGTTCGTCTTGAGCAAGTATAACAAACATAGGTATTAAATCAGATTTAAGGTACTCAATTTCCACAACTTTTGCAAATTCACCTAATTTAGAAGCCGCAGACCGTCGAGCCATAGGAGTGTCATCCTGGCACAAGCTGCGAAAGTGATTCCGCAATTCCGCTGTAACATTTAAGTTCGTAAAACATTAAGATTATCATTTTGTTTGTTTAAAAATTAATGTGATATCAAGGATCTGCAAGAAATATAAGATTATTATACAATTACCTTTAATGGCTGGGCTCACTCTTGGATAACAAACACTGAACAAGCCGCATGCTGATGTTCTTGACGTAAACCAATCTCCTGAAGCCAAGCGTTGAACCAATGGCACGAAGTGTTCTTCTAAATCTGCAGGACTATGCTGGCTCGCAATATTTCTTAAAGATTCCACAGCTTTATCACGGACTACAGTTTCTTCCACGGTAGCCAGAGATTCCAGCGGTGGCTAAATAAAAAATATTTATTTCTTTGATAGATGCAACAAAGATATCAAAAATGGATTTCACAGGAGTATTTATTCCAATTTTACATTTAATTATAAAACCATTTTAAATAAAATCTTTGAAAGTATATGTTTATTTTGTTGGCTAGATAAAAAAACTTAATATCATCCAAATTTTAAAATCAAATTTGAGATAATTCTAAATATAAAATTGGAATATAAATGCCAGTTTTTAATTCATATTAGTAATCTAAGATATCTGTTATTACCAAGAGACAATGTACAAATTCTGGTCCACCAACAAGAGGGGTAAACGTGCCGAGCTGTTCGGCTAATGCAAGAAGAACTTCATCTTCATCATAAATTGTCTCTGTTAAAAACGGTATCAATTCACTCCGTGTTCGTTCAACGCCTAGAGCAAGCGCAATCGTTGATAATTTCTTGATAGAATTGAGACGTAACTGTAATAAAAAAATAAACACATGCATACTTGGTAATACATATCAACAATTACAAAAGCTGCGATAGAAACTATCATACTATTACACGCTATAATGCATAATACTTTAATTCGAACTGACTTTCCTTTTCTAATAATCGTGTCGATACAATTTCTGACTAACTCATAAAAATTATCTTCATAACAACACATTTAAAAAAATCTTAGTCTTTCTTTGGAATACTCTAGAGTATCTTGGTACTCTTTATCAAATAGTAGTAAGGATAAAGAAACTTTTCTAAGAGGACGGGAAAGTAGGGCTTTGTTCACTCTGTGAATAATTAATGCGATGATGATTACCTGAACATCTTCGTTTTTTAACTCGTCAATTAGAACTGCGATCGGATAGAGACTGTCGTCCGTGTTGGAATCACTCGCTGCCATTTTGCTGCCGGATACACTGGCGGTTCGGTACGCCGTATGCTCGTCGAGATTTCTTGTGCCGCGTTAGATGCGCCTACGTTGATGCTCACGTTTCCGGGAATGCAAATCGAACACCGTTCTCGGGCACGCACACGTAATTACAGCATAATTGCGAGATGCCGTTAGTAATTTGGAAGCTCACTAGAAAATCTACCTCGCGACCCCGTGCGACTCCATGAATCATTGATAGTAATCGCTCGCGTCGTCATCAGATGGCGACACTTGCACCCACGCGTTGCGTTGGCAGATGCAAGGGATTCACGGCGTGAATTTCACGCGTTGCAGTTGCGTTTACGTGACGTCATGCGCTCTATAATCTTCCCGCGAATAATATAAACGTTTCACAATGTTTTTGACTGCTGAATATTTTAATATCATAATTTTAATATTATTTGTTTCTTATTTTTAATAATTTTGCATGCACTTTAGTACGTATCTCATAGACCTTATGTATGAGATATTTAAATATTTCAACATAGTTTCATGTTGATTATAATTTTTTTTTTTTTTCAATTACGCACATAATTTATTCAATAATCACATGAAAAACATGAAGGAGAAAACTAATAACGAAAGAAATATTACAAGAATGTAAATTTATATCCTTGATCGACAATTGGTGAAATAGATGCATCAAATAATGATTTATCATCAATGTTAAAGAGCACTTTCATGAATAAAAAGTAATATATCAATATTGCAAAAAAATATAAATATTATGTGAATATGCATTAAATTAATATATCAACAGAATAAAAAATTGTTTATGATTATGTAATTTACATCATTTTTTCAGTTGACAATGCATGGAGAAGTTTGATAGAAAAAGACTAAGATGATTGTTTATAAGTTCCGGATGACCCCTTCTTCTTTCTTTGAAAAAGATCTCGTTAAGTATTGGTTAGACATACGTGGTTATATGTGCACTATTAATTTCTTGTTAACAATAATTTAATTATTAAAGAAAAAATTATTATCTTATATCAAAAAATTCCGTCTACTTTTAATGATATAATATTTGAGCAATTTTTTATTATAGTATCCTGAAATTATTCGCCGACGTAATTCTTAATTAAAAAATGACTAGTGTGCATTTAGTTTAAATGTTTAATTAAGAGACAATACTTAATGCTATTATACAATGCTTCAATAAATCTATGTTATTTTTTAAATTTGTATTACAACAATTGTAATTATTGTAAATTACTTATATTTGTACTATTTATATTTTTTTAATTATCGTGATAAATATATATAAAAAGATAAACAAAAAATTTATATAAAAATTATTACCGTTTAAATGCTGCAAACATTTAATTGTAAAAACATAATAAAAAAATACTAAAAGTTTATTAAAAATCGAAATAGAGATACTAAATTAAAACTTTTGTTTTGTAATCTTTACTATAATTTTTATTAAAAATCAATAAAAAAATTATGCAAATGACAAAACAGTATCATCACATTGATTACAATCAATTGCAATATTTATATGATTGTATCTCATTTCACTTCTGCGCGATTTCTTGCAAATTTTTTTTTAAATCTTGCATAATAAAATTTTGGACTAATTTTAGTATAAGAAATTTATCTTTCTCTTTTTACATCGCAAGCTACATCGTATTTTACATTTATGATTTTAATTCTGCACATTAATATTATAAAACTTATAAAAATTTTTAATTTTAATAACTTTTTATTTGATTATAATAAATATTTATTAATTAAAAATCAATTTATCCTCCTAACAGAATGAACAGAGTATATCTTATAAAATATTACAAGTTATTTCGGAATTGATTAGACAAAATTTAAAAATATTTTTAGAATTTATTGAAATTTTTTATGTAATATATGAATTATCACTGTCGAATTTGTGAGAAAGCAGAAAAGAGAATAATTCTCTTTTTTTTTTTAAACAAAACCTTATGTTTTTGGATATTAATCAACATAATTTTTAATGTTCTACAAAAATAATTATGAAGTTATACTTAGAAAATGTTAATTTAGAAGTTATTTTCTAATATGCTTTATTATCTAATATATTTTGATATATAATATGAAATATTTTTATTTCATATAAAAACATTAAAGCAAAACGCAAATTTATTTCTCTTTGTACGAATCTTACAGTCGTGAACATTTCTTACTTAAGAATTTATATATGTAGATTTTACATTACGATATCTTCGTTCATAGAACGCAACAACAACTAAACAACAACTAAACTCTTTTTCCTTTTCCTTTTTCCTTATATTATTTAAACAATATAAGGGAAGAGCTTGCGTTTATATCAATTTTATAATCTTATGAATAATAGAACACATGTTAATTTTGGATTTGTGTATGAGTGTGTTTATGTTTAATACA